TGGGCCCTTTGACAATAGTCAGAAGGAGGATCATTGAATGAGGATGTCACTGGTTGGGTGTCAGGAGCAGGTGACACATATAACTAATAGGCAAATAACACAGACAGCACAGCATTGTATATATTTAAAATTTAAATTAGTATAAAGAATAACAACTTTTAGATCTTTCCATACCTGTGATTTTTTCTGTTTTTTTTTACTCTTTTTCATTTCTATGTTATTTCACTTTTTTCAAATCTTAGACTCCATGTTTCTTAATGTGTCTTCAGAAACGTCTATTCTTATTCACACTCCTTCTTAGTTTTCTTTTATGTGATTATTTTGTGTGTGTTTTTTTTCCTACTCCCTGAGCTGTGTGCTCATTTTGTTCTTTGGCTATCTAGCCATATCCTCTCCAATTTTTAGGACATGTGCTTTATGTCCTGTATATACTTTTAAAAGTTTTCTGTTATTAAAAATTTTGATCTAGTCTGTCTCTGGCTTCATATCAGGTCACTGGAGGAGGCTTAAGCGGGGCTCTGGAGCTGCAGGGTGGAGCAAAGTGAAGAATGGGGATTTGGGGAAGTAAAACGCTTGCTTTACTCTTTGCCTCTGATGGTGACTCTGTGTGCAGCTTCTCTCAGTGGTACATCTTCTCTTAAATCAGGATGCTGGGCAGGACCCTCTCCTTTGTCCTAATCAGTGACTCAATCGGGGATGTTAATGTAAACACAGGTCTTCTCATTTCATTTCAGCACTGGAGGTGTGTCTTGGCAACACAGGGTCTGGCACCCTGATGGACCTTTGAAAAAGCAATGTTTATAAACAATTCTTTCCTCAAGACTTGAATAATGGAGCAGAGATTTTCTCTTATCAATTCACAAAGTAGACCCTTTCCCTTTCCCTTTCCCTTCCTTGGCCTTTTGAATGATTTGTACTTAGGAATGGAATATTTTTCCAGAACCAGGACCAGAAATCAACAAAATTAATTTCTTTCTTTCTTTCTTTCTTTCTTTCTTTCTTTCTTTCTTTCTTTCTTTCTTTCTTTCTTTCTTCTTTCTTTCTTTCTTTTTTTCTTTCTTTCTCTCTCTCTTTCTTTCTTTTTTCTTCTTTCTTTCTCTCTCTTTCTTTCTTTCTTTCTTTCCTTCCTTTCTTTCTTTTTCTCTTTCTCCCTTCCTTCCTCCCTCTCTCCCTCCCTCCCTCCCTTCTTCTCCTTTTCCTTCTCCTTCTTCTTCCTCTTCCTCTTCTTCTCTTCCTCTTCCTCCCCTCCTCCTCCTCCTCCTTCTTCATCTTCCTCTTCTTTCTTCCTTTCTTTTCTTCTCTCTTTCTTCCTTCTTTTCATTCTTTTTTCTTTGTCAGCAGTAGAATCCTTTCAGTGAAATATTATGTGAGGTATCAATACATTTAACTGATCAAAACTAAAGGGCTGTAATTGAAGCTAGGTGAGGGGTCTGAAAGCTACCCACTAGAAATGCCTGTGCCATCACCTTCTGGCCATAGGGTCCCTAATACATAGATATTGAACCCCATGACTTAGTGGGAATGTGGCTTGAGGACCACTCCTCTCATCTTTTCTGGCTATTTGCATAAGGTGGACAACATAATGGTCTCTGCAGGGGTGTCTTTGTAGTTATCCCCTGGTAGCTCCTGCAGACCCCTGCTCACCTTTCAAATGCAAATACATAAAATACTTGCCTATAGGCTTGGGAACAAGGTAATTCAGTTCTCTGCCAAAGAGGGAGAACTGCTGAAAATGTGTCTTTATCTTAAAGTAGTTTGACCTTACAACTCCTGGAGATAATGCCCTGGGCAGAAGAAACAGACATTTTTGTCCAATGCACATATTTATTATACGTCAACTGTGTGTTTATAATCATATCAGGAATTCCTAGGTCCACAGAGTTATTTGGCACACTCTTCTCAAGAAACACAGTCCAAAAATTCTTTTGTATCATGGCTAAATTAACAAAGGGAATCTGAAAATTTGCAAAAATTATGTAAAGAAAAATACAAGTCACACGTTCTCTCACCAGTCAGTAGAATTATTATTTCTTTCTAGTCTTGTGCAACATAGATTTCTAGTGATAGAATTCCTGGTCAGGAAGCATTTGAAGGAGGCATTTGGGAAGACTGGGCTTTCTTGGTGCTTTTCAAATCTATCACCAAGGGAGCTATTTTCTCTCTTAACCCACAGGATGTAATACCAGTTAATATCCAGGAATACTTCAAGTCAGTTATTTGGGTTTCTCTACAAGTTAAGTGTTTTCTGTTCAAATAACTTTTATAGCAACTATTTTAGTTGTTCTCTTCATCACGGCAATCATGAACTCTCTCTTTTCTATATTATATTTTCTATCATAATTGCATGAAAATATGGTTATATTTTCTATCATAATTGCATGAAATCTATATATGCTATAAATAGTGTATGCATATCCATGATTATACACACATACTCAGAATACAGGTGAGAAGTCCACCTAAATGATTCTCAGCCAATGCATTGCAGAAATCAGACAGATTTCCCCAATGACCTTCGAGTGCTCAAGAAGAAAAGTAGAATATATATATGTACCCCTTTTACATCTTATGCATGTAATCAATAAAGCCTTTAAAATGAATGCCAACTTCCTGACAAAAAAAATGAATTGGCTGTCTCAGGCTCTGATTCCTTATCAAATTCTGTGAAACTCACTTTACCCTCTATAGCTCAGTTCCCCCTACTGGTTTCAAATGCATTCTAACCACCCTGATAATATAAATTAGAGCTCAGATTTTCCTCACTGAGGGTGAAGCTCTGGGGTAGGAATGAACTTCATGTGTAATTGAATCTGTGGTTCATTGAGAAGATTTGTAAGGAGCTTTGCTACATGTGCAAGTTGTATTTGGCTCACGGAAATGTGTTGTGAATTTGTATTATAGCTACAGATGTCCACGAAACAGAGTAGGTGATTGAGGTTAAAATTTAGTTTTCCTCCATTTTCACAGTAAGTATCTCTGTGTTGAAGGACACACATCCCCATAACCAGCATAACATTTGGCCATTTATTCTGTTTTTTTCCTAACTACTAACCATTCTTTCTCCTCTTGCTGCTTCTCCTCCTCCTCCTCCCCTTTTTCCTCCTCCTCAACCTCCTCTTTGCTTTCTGTTTTTCCTCATCCTCCTCCTCCTTCTTCTGGAGGTCTGGGGTTGCACTGAGCTATCTGAATTGTCCTCTAGGTTTGCTTTTGATATTAGTAATAAGGATATCTAAATCAGTCTTGTCTCAGTCATTACACTAAAGATAAATGTCAGATTTCTTAGCTCTTTTCTTCTATTCTCAAAGTGAAAGAGGAGAGCCACTGACAGTTTCATCTTTACAGAAGAGCAACTGTTAGGGTTAATCCTTACATCTGATTCTTTTCACTGATCTTCAGAGACTATTCTCTTTGTGGAATGTTAGTTTTACCATTTCTTTATATGAGTGCATTCAATTTCCCCAAGCTCCTCCTTCTTTATATTTTTAATAGCAAAGTGTCAAATTCCAGTCAATGATTGCCTTTTCGGGTGCATATGGAGAATTTACATCTACACAGGGTGAAAGGTAATTCTGCTTTACAGACATTTCTTACTTATAGAATCTGTCGAGACATTTTTCATCTCCGTACCTCTATTGCCAAGATTAAACTTTATTCACCATGCTGGAAATAGATAAATAATATTACTGATTATTTTAAAAATTCTTCAAAATTATTTAATTCTATATGGATTGGGAAAATTTGGAGAGACAGAGATAAGAAGTGAAAAACTCCAATAGATAATATCTATAGCTTTTTCACACTGATAGACACATAATTGATATTTACAACACTATTAGTCATAAAATACTAGATGTTATCATGAGATGAGCTAAAAAAATGTACAAACAGTATGAAAGCTCAAAAGAAAAACGCACATGTGAAAATTCGTTATTGTGTTGATAGTTTAATTATGGTCTATTGCACTTTATTAAAGGCTCTATCTGGTGATATGAATGTGGAATTTCTCTCCTGGGTTTTCTATTTACTTCAGTGGGCTGGATGGAAAATAAGCATGAGGCATAATCTTTTATGTCTTTCTTCAATAATTAGCAGATTTGTTCCTCTGCTTTCCTAAGAGGGAACTAAAGGAATGTCAGTAATCAGGTAGGAGCTGCAGGACTTTGCCTGGATGACCACAGTCTGGTTCCATTGAGTCTCTGAAATGTCTCTGGGTTTATAGTCAATTCCGTCATCACTCATTGAGACCTGCTGTGCACATTGGCTAGAGTTGGACTTGAGAGGAATCAAAGTTAAGTGAGATCAGATCCTTGTTATCAGGAAACTCACAATTGAATGTAGAAAAGTAATACAAGCTGAACTAAAACTTGGGCTTGGTAATAGGTATCAAAAATGTACAATGGAAATACCAGAGAAAGGGTGGTTGAAGATGGAGAAAGCATTTTTTTGTTGAAGGAAAATATCATTTTAATAATACTTGATCCTTTTTCAATTGAAAACACAGTAAATCCTCACCTAATGTCAATGGTTCTTGGAAACTGCAACTTTAAGTGAAACAGAGTATAACGAAATCACTTCTTTTCCTCATCAAAGTTACAACAAAGGGCCTCAAAGGAAACAATGTTATTTGAGGACCTGCCTTATGTTACAGGACTTCAAGTTACAGCTTCCAAGAACCTGTCAATGACATTAAGTGAGTACTCATTGTACTTTCATAAGCTTTTGAAACAAATTGGGTTTGTAGCATAACTTGAAATAATCATGTGGGATCTTCCTTTAAAAGTGGGAAATGCCACTGATTTTGACTTTGGAGTGGAAAGTTCGGGACAAGATACAGGAATCTTTAGCTAGAGGATAACCAATCGGAGGCTGACCCGTGTAATGTAGGGCACGTGGGCCAGAGCCGGCATCTGTGTGGCACCGGCTGCTCTGTTTCCTGTGCCATCAGCAAGAAGCCCGAATTGCTTTGGAAGCATAACAGAACCCTCACATTTCCAGCCAACCAGCTTCCCCTTTTTATAGCACAACTAATTTGGAAAATCTCACAATTATCTAAACTGTATTTTCAATACGGGCTGAGACGAAGACCATGTATTTATCGTCACAAAACTGCAACTGCATTTCAAATTCTATGTTGTGTGGAGGCTCTCTCAATACGGACCTAAATAAATAAAGGAAGTGAGATTTTCAGATTCCCACACCCCACCCATCGACTTTTTTTTAATTTTCTTTACTTTTGATATCCTCTACCAAGGCCTTTTCTTGTTAATTTTGCCAGCTAGTTTCTACTTAAAGCTGACTTCCACGGAGATGTGTGTATTTGCGGGTCGGCTTCATCAAACATTCATTGTTCAATACTGTGACAGCTGGTAGCAGGCATACACACTCTTTCCTTGTTTGGTTTTCTGATAAAACCTGTCAAGTACTGGTTGACTATAACTGAATTCGTCACCCTCTCAGCAAGGTTATACCTCTTCTTACTATGAAATAAAACAATAAAACAACAATTCTAACCCCTGTCTGCCAACCCCTCGTAATTTGACAAGGAAGTGTATGAAGAACAGGTTTTAACCAGACTAACACCCACAAGGTTCACTGTTGATGAAAAATTTTCACACATCTAAAAATGTAAGGATCATTCTTGTGAGCACTTGCTCAGGAGACAATGGAAATGTAGAGAAGGTTATAGCAAAAAGATACTGGGCTTGCGTGCTGTTCAGACTGAGCATCTGAAATCTGTCGATTTCGGGCAACAAATCATCCCAACAAGCTGTTTGGTGCCCTGCAGGCCTTCTCAGACTAGTTTATTGACATGGTAAGGGCAGGTGCTTACAAGAAAACTGACAAAGTCTGTCTCCTATAGGATGTGCAGCTTCTGAAGAGGAGAGCCTACAATAAAGTTGGAGTTGAGATTTCACTTTTAGATGGAAAAAGGAGATAAAATGTTTCACTGGGCAAAGGAGAGTTCTGTCTGCCTTCTAGAGAAATGACATCACCTTCAGCCAGCTAGTTACTTTCCTCAACGATTCTGTTATTTCCTTCCTTCTTTCTCGCTTCCCTTCTTTTCCTTCCTTTTTGTTTTATTCTAAAAAACAGGGAAACAAAAGCTGCCATACTTATCTCAAAGGATTATTAATATCAGATAAGTTGATTTGGCAAAGCAAGTTTTAATTTGTAAAGATCTATTCGATTTTTTAAGTTAACTATTATTATTTATGAATAGTCTGAGAAGGAAGTGTCTTAATGTGTTTAGGTTTCTATAATAAAATACCGTAAACTAGGTGGTTTATAAACAACAGAAATGGACTTCTCATAGTACTGGAGGCTACGAAGGCCAAGATCATGACACCAGAAGACTTAGTGTCTAGTAAAGGCCCTGCTTCCTGTTTCATTGATGGCCTTCCTTCACGGTCACTGCATATGGTGGAAGGGAGGAATAAAACCTCTCTGGTGCTTCTTTTATTTTATGTATTATTATTTTTATTTTGAGACAGCCTGTTGCCCAGTGGAGTTCAGTGGCACGATCTTGGCTCACTGAAACCTCTGCCTCCCAAGTTCAAGCAATTCTCATGCCTCCACCTCCCAAGTAGCTGGGACCACAGGCATGCATAGCCATGTCTGGGCAATTTTTGTATTTTTAGTAGAGATGGGGTTTCGCCATATTGGCCAGGCTGGTCTTGAATTCCTGACATCAAGTGATCTGCCCGCCTCAGCCTCCCAAAGTGCTGAGTTTACAGGTATGAGCCACCATGCCTGACCATCTGGTGTCTCTTTTATAAGGATACTAATCCCATTCACCAAGGGCTCTGCCCTCGTGACTTAATCACCTCCAAAAGGCCCACCTGCGACTAATATCACCTTGGGAGTTAGAATTTCAACATATGAATTTTTGGGGAACATAAACTTTCAATTCATCACATTAAATATTAGTCATAGAAAATAACGATTCAGAGGTGGTTTCCTTTTTAACATGGAGACTGGCCTGGAGAAAGGCTGAATACAAAGCATGAAATCATTTTATGGAAATTATACCAAAGAGTAATAACAACAATTACTGTTTCAGTATGGCAACAATATCTGCAGATAAAAGCAGACCCAAATATCTCAGGAGCTTAACACCATGGAAGTTCATCTCTCACTGATGTGGCTGGTTTGAGATGGCTGCAATCTATCCGTCATTCAGGAATGGAGGCTGAGCCATCCTCATTGCAAAGCTCTGTGATCTTCCTAGATGTCTGTCTTCAGCTGATAGATTGTTGAGGAGAGTGTGTCGAGGAAGTCATGGAAGTTTATATGGCCCATAACTGGAAATGGTGAGCCTTACTACTATGTATGCTCTATCAGCCAGAACAGTCAGTCACATGTTTACTCCCAGCAATGCAGTTAGAGTCCAGCATCGGGCCAAGATAAAAGGGGAAACAGGTTGAATGTTTAGCTAACCGGTTTCTATCATCCCTAGTTACTCATTCCGTCTCTTTTTCAGATTGAATAATTTCCATTGTTCTCTTTTTAAGTTCACCGACTCTTCCCTCTCTCCATTCTGCTTTAAGCTCAAACAATATGTTTCAAATTTTGAATTTGGTATTTTTTTTCTGTTGTAGAGTTTACTTTTTTTTTTTGCAGTTGCTATTTCTCTGGTAATAATTGCTATTTCTTCATTTATTATGAACACGTTTTTTCTTACATCCTTGAACATGCTAAAAATACTTGTTGATGTGTTGTTTAAAAGTTTATGTGTTGTTTAAAATCATAGTCTGTGAAGAACATATCTGGATTGAACTTTGTTGACTATTTCCTCTTGAGATCTTATTTTAGTGATATATGAATAAAAATTCATATATATGAAATTAGTCAATGTATGAATAAAAATTCATACATTAATTTTAGATCATATCCTGTTCATTGAAAAGGTGAGGTTGTAGAGTCTCTGGTCTCCATTATTTGTCTTAAGAGTAAATTTTCGTTGGTTGATCAGGCTATTAACTTGTTTGAACTCACACTAAACACTGTTTTGCAGAGAGTTCAAATGTCAGTACAGTTATTTTATCCTTACCTGGGCTCTTTGAGTCCATCCCACACATACATGGTTAAAGACTTATTCAAATATTTGAGCAGGAGTTTTACAAAGAATTTGGAGCTTCACACCTCTCACTTTTCTGGTACACCTCTCACTTTCTAATGGCTGTCATTGCTTTGAACTCTGTCCTCTAGTTCTTTTGACCAGAAAAAAAGTTGCAAGTCTTTCAAGTGTTAATTTCTTTCAGAAGCTGCATGCTTGTTCACACTACAGTGCCTTTAGTTGGATTTTATCTTTTGTTCAGAGGTTATAGTTCTTATTTGGGGGTGGGAGCAGTGGGGTGTCAGTTTGGGGGAAACTTAGTCATGATCAAAGTAGAATTCCACACTAGCCATTCTAATGACTCATTCTAACTTCCTTCTTATGACTACAGCTTTAGGGGTCAACATTTTGTATGCTGAAAAGTATTTTGCTTCATCTTGACCTAAATTGTCAAACCATGTCTATCTGGTCTTTTTTTTTTTTTTTTGAGACAGTATCTGGCTCTGTTGCTCAGGCTGAAATGCAGTGGTGAGATCACAGCTCATTGCAGTCTCCACCTTCCTGGCACAAGCAATCCTCCCACCTGTCTCCCAAGTAGCTGAGATTAGAGCCACACACCACCATAGCTGGCTAATTTTTTTACTTTTATTTTTGTAGAGATGGGCTCTCACTCTGTTGCCCAGACTGGTCTGAAACTCCTAGGCTTCGCTGATCCTTCTGCCTCAGCCTCCCAAAGTGCCGAGATTACAGGCATGAGCCACTGTGCCCGTGAAATGTCTCCTTCTATTTTCATTACTCTACTGTTTTTTATTCCAACAACATACAGTAAACAATTGAAAATATAAATAATACTGTAGTAATTGTTTCTTAGAGGGCTTTCTCACAAAGTGTTTTTCCCATCTGAATTATAAGTTTAGATACGTAATTTTTTAAAAGTTATAAACATCTGTCTTCTCTTGTAGCAAACTCTCCTTGGTTGTTGACTCAATAGCCATTCTGCAAATTGAGAAATTTTGCTTCTTTCATTTTACTTGTTTATAAGTAAAAGGGTGTATTTAGTGGCCCCTTAAAAGAATAAGTTCAGGATATGTAATTTTTCAATTTAAAAAGTTTCTCTTAGCATTATACCAAGTTTTAGAGGACACAGTCTCTTCAGGGTTTCCTTTTTTATTTGTTCTTTTTAAAGCATTAAAAACATCTATGGTACAATTAAATTGCATAGACAGTGCTTTGTGAATCCCAAAGAATAATATTCATTTGGAAACCAGGTTCCTCTACTGAGTCAGCTAATATTTCAACTGGGGCAAGAGGCTCAGAATTTGTAAAAAGGAAAATGAGTCAAACACTATTATTTCCTTTTACAGCCATTTTGTTAGCTACCAGTGGACTCTTCCTTTCTGGGCTGCTTGCCCTACATAAAGGCTGAATTATTTACAAAAAGTTGATTGCAAAAATTGCGTATGTAGTTGTCAAGCAGGTGCTTTTCAAACCTTTAAAACGCCTACTCTTTTTGATTGCTTTCACAACTTAGGTAGAAGACATATATATTATACTCAGTTTAATCACTATAGCATTAATCTGGTTGGGAAAAAAAGTATGCATCCTTTTATATTTAGGAAGCTTTCAGTTTTCTAACCCTTCCTCTCCAGATTTTCTGAGTTATTCTTTAGTCTTCTTCCTTCACTTCACTACACACTGGCTCATCAATGCACTGGAAACTAACTTCTTCCCTTTATGTAATTTAGAACTGATAGGTTCACAATGCCCTTCTAATTGACATGACATTTTCCTAACTCCTTAGAAGCATTTGCTGCTATAGTTGATCCTCATTATTGGCAGAATTCATATTTGAAAATTTGTTTACTTACCGAAATTCGCTTGTAGCCCCAAAATCATACTTGTGGCACTTTTGCAATCTTTCATGGGCATCTGGAGAGTGGTAAAAAAATGTGAGAAATACCAGATATAGGTGATAGGGAGGAAGGCAGCACATCACACTGCCATGTGTGTACCTATGCAACAATCTCAATCTTGTATGTTCTTCACATGTCCCCCAAAACCTAAAATGCAATAAAAAAAAATGTCAGGAGCTCAATGTGCATGTTCCCAGCTGAGGTAGCCAGAACATAAACCAGTCTTGTTTATGTTCTCATTTGGAAAATGGGTATCCTTTTGCAGTCAATTTAGTAACCAAATTTTTGACATTCTTTTGCTTCTTGTTGGTAATGTCACTGTTTAAAATGGCCCCCAAGTGTGGTCTTGAAGTGCTAGCTCATGTTCTAAGAAGAAGGCCATGGTGTGACTTATGAAGAAAACGTGTTAATTCAAGCATGAGTCATAGTGCTGTTGGCTATGAATTCAATGCTAATGAATCACTATATATTAAATAAGGTAACTTTAAACAGAAATACACATTAATAGAAGGTTATACATTTATTGGTTGACAAAAATGCAGTGCACAGAGGCTCACAGGAACCTAATCCTTTTCCTGAAATTGTGAAACATTAAAAGTACCTTCACGCATATGTTCATTGCAGAACTATTCACAATAGTAAAGACTGGAATCAATTCAAATGCACATCAATAATAGACTGAATAAAGAAAATGTGGTACACATACACCGTGAAAACTATGCGGCCATAAAAAGAAGCAAGATCATGTCCTTTGCAGCAACATGGCTGGAGCTGGAAGCCATTATCCTCAGTAAACTAACACAGGTACAGAAAACCAAATACCACATATTCTCACTTATAAGTGGGGGAACACTTGGACACAGGGAGGGGAACAACACACACTGGAGTCTGTGGGGGGGTAGGATAGGAGGAGGGAGAGCATCAGGATAAATAGGTAGTGCATGTTGGGCTTAATACCTATGTGATGGGTTGGTAGGTGCAACAGACAACCATGACACATGTTTACCTATGCAACAAACCTTCACATCCTACACATGTACCCCAGAACTTAAAATAAAATTAAAAGTTTGAAAAGATACATTAACACTTTAACAGAAATCAGAGAAATTTACGTTAATTCATTGGTTGTTTAGTGTTGGTCTGTCGGTCCAGACTTTCCTTATTGTTGTTACTGTTTTTAATATAAAATCAAGATTAGAATTCTTTGTCATCTGCCTTTCATAATCCATATTCATAATGCATTTTTATGATTCCCATATTCTTTTATTTAAAGGGAAGTCATTACTCAACTACATTTACAAAGCACAGCCTCTGCTGGCATTTGACTTTAAACCACTGATTTAGTTTAGTTCTGAGATTCTGTTTTTCCCTATCTATGTGCTTGTTACAAAGTATGTTCACCCTGTGGAAATTAACCAAGTTACGTAATTGTGGTTTGTACACTTTTGGTATAAAAGAGAAAAAATAAAAAAATTGAAGATACATAATTTGAGGTATAAACTGAAGGAGTTACAGAATTTGGATAGGCAGAGAAGGAGAAGGAGGAGAAGGTATGGCGTGAGAAAAGAGGTGATGTGAGAATGAAACAGGCTATGTGGGAGAAAATAAAGAGGCCACTGGGCCCAGCAAAGAGAGTGCATGGTAAGGATCACTAGTAAACAAGCTTGGGAAGAAGGGAGGCTCACAGTAAATGAATAGCATTGAAAGATAGTTCAAACTACGAAAAAAAAATTCCCAGGGAAATAGAAAAATACTTGCTCCATAGGGAGTGTTTCTTACTTCCTGGAGCTCACACACACAAAAACTATGTAATGGAAAAGCCCTACAATGAAGGAGACTATATAAAATTCATTGCAGATTTCTATTCCTTACATATAATTGCAATTTTGCAAGGAATTGGGTGTTCATGCAGTTTGAGGCTTAACTTTGTCCATTTATTATTTGCTCATATTAATTTTTTTAAATAAAAGAAATAAAAATAACTTTTATAACTAATCTGCCAAAATAATTTTAAATTATACTATTGGGAAGTGAAAAATAAAAGCAAAACAAAGGCAGTAAATGCCACTTGTTAACTGACATCACCCCCTGAAAAGTCATCTGGGAAGTTTTGTGCTTGTGAAATGGGGGAGGCTTATACCGCAAGTGTTTTTCCAACTGCCTAAAGCAGCACTTACTTCCATAAACACAGTATAATATAATCTGCAGAGTCTCCAAAGAATTCAGAGCACTCAGAAATGGCTTGTACTTCCCATGCTTGTCACATGAGACAGGTGATGTGCTATGAATGCGGCACCATTTTGGTATGAAAACTGTCACTTACTGGGAGCATATTTGTAATAAAAAGGGCTTTTCCCACATGAAAGTACATCTTTAAAGTTCCATTTCTCCCCAGATGTAGATGCACTGGGGTCTCATATGTGCTCTTCGCAGTTGAATTACTCTATATTGTATTTACTCAAGAAAATCCCAGTTGCTGTTCTTCCCTTTCCTTTTCTAATTCCTGATATACTATTGCCCTCTGGCAATTGGTTATGAGACTCTGAACTGCTGTCTGATTTGCATTCCACAATAATAATAGTTGTATACAAAAATATATAAAATACAAAAATAGTTGTATCTTCAGAGGAAAATATTAGGGAGTGATCATAAGACTAAGATTAATGAAGAGTGATATGGTGGCTAGTTTCCCCATGGTAAGTACCTTTCATAGTAAAGATATTTTCTGGGTCTGAATTATCTGGATAATTGCATGCTTCAAATGACTTCCAAATAGCCATAACTGACTCCATACAATTTGCTCACTTCAAGGACCATGTCCCCACGTATTTGCTGAACATCTCCACAAATGTTGGCAGAACACCTGCTGTTTACAGAGTGCTACATTAACATTTACAGAAGAGGATACATAATAAATTATGATTCTTGTCTGCAAGCATCTTGCAATCCATTTTGTAGAATGGAAACAAATGTACAGCAGAATATAAGTGCAGTATTGGAACAGTAACCAATTATTGTCAAAATCCCGATGAAAACCAATAAATAAGTAGATAAATCAACAAATAGTATATCAGATGCTAAACATGCAACAGAGAAAATGTAGCAGAGTATGAGACGAGGGAG